CAGAGGTGTTAGAAGCAGCTGCTATGAAATTCAGGGAACAAAATTGTAATAGTCTACAGTGACACGTGAGAGTTTCCTGGTGTTGGATGGTAACTAGATTCTTGGCATTCTTGTCTTCCTTGGATGGACATGGTTGGGATTCACCAGAACAGATGTGCTTTCCAGGATCAGTGAAGGGAGCTGTCAAAGCTCAGGAATTGGCTCCTCTTCTAATACAGAAACTCCAAAGGGAGCCTTGCTCAATTCTCTCTCATGAAGTTGAGAAAATGTTTCCATCCCATAAATAGATTTTGAATTCTGTAGGCTCATTACAGATACAAAGCCAAACTGCTTCCAGAGCTATACCAGCAGAAGTCAGTTGAGAGTTCAGTTTGTTGTGTTACTTCAGGTATCCTGGTCATTGCAAGCAAGCTACTTGTGCTCTCCTCTGCTGAGGACTTGTTATCTGTCAGTAATTGGAGTGGCCAAGGGGAGATGAAAGGGCAAGGATTAAGAAAAAAGCTTGGCTGAGAATTTAAAATTACTCCTTTCCACCAAAGTCTGACTTCACTTTTTTTCACTTGTGATGGAAGAGTAAATGACGTCCATGTGTCCAAATCCAATGTTGTTTTTTTAACCACAACTTTAAGCTTGAATCAGATTCAGCATAAAATTCACTATGAATTTATTAAATCCTATGAATGAGACACTTAAATCAAAGCCTACTTGTATAACTTTTTACTGTCCTACCATCAAGGCAAGATTATACTCAGCAAACTTTTCAAAGGCAGTAGAGTATAAGCAACATTCACAGGTGCTGCCAACAACAGAATCAAGTGGTGGAATGTGCTTATCAAAGAACAGTGTTTTCTTAGAAAAACGGGAGGGGGGAGAATATGCTTTGCTCTCACAACCTTATGTACTGAGCAGCAGCAAACTAAACAGAGAAGTTCTGCCCTCTAGTTCAATCTAAGGGTACTTCAGCCCCTTTCACACGAATAAATTGCATGCATATGCTAGAAAACAGTAGCTTGAGTAATTCCTCAAGAAACTGCATAGAGTGACTGAGGTTCTGTGGCTTATTCCTCTTTTCAAGGAATCTCTTCAAGGCATTCTATGGTTCAGTGTAGAAAGGAGAAGCAGAGGAAAGCTGCTTTTTGTACTCCCTAAAGTAAATAAAAGTCTAATAACTTTGGTGCCTTGGGCTGTCCTCTCTTGAAACTTGGTATGGATAAGAAGTTATTGGAGAGCCAAAGCTTCCTGTCTCTTCCAAGAAAGAAAATGGAACAAATGCTAAGTATTTCAACAAAAATCATGGAACCCCCCTTCAAATTAGGAAATTAGTAGCTTACTTGCAGTTGCTTCTCACATAATGGTTAAAGGAGTCATAATTTGTGAAACGGTTGTTCAGATGTATAATGTGATATGGCTGCAATTTTAACTGCAGTGAAAAGAAAACTGGATGCAGTTGTTATTTCAGGGGCACAGCAAAGTTATATTAATAATTTCAATAAATATTGTTCTAGAAAGATGTGAAGCAGTTTCCCAATTTTAAATGCTTATGTACAGCAGGCTATGTTGCAAAACCATATATTTGAGATGCAAGTGATTTCAAATGTACTAGAGCCATGAAGTTCACTTGGCAGACCTGAGAGAGAATATCGTCACAGAACTGACCCTAGAAAATGTTGGCAGATCATGTTACTGTACACATGGAAATGCTGGTCTGAATGAAATCTATCCCACCAAGTGAAGTGCCTCTTGCTGCATGAACCTCCAGCATTTTTCAGTAGTTAGCACTGCACTGCCTCTGGAAATGACACAGTGTAAAATGTCATGGATTATGGCCACCGAATCCTTTGCCTTCACAGAACTTTCGTCAGCTCTGTCACCTTTCTATAATAGAAACGTGACATCTAAAATTAAAACAGGTATTTATGTGCTGGTACTCATTTATATGCACATACAGTGTAGCTAATCACACTGTGGATTTCTGCAAGCTCTGTTAGGAAAAGAATTTCATTATCAAATCAGTCATTTCTATGATGTAACATGGTTTGTGAGTAGCCAGAAGGACAGTGGAAGTCTTACCTACCTTCCTGAAACCAGGTGGATATTTTTATTTGAGCAAATTTTATTTGCTCAAAGTTCCAAAGATTTGGTTTTTTACTACTTTTAAGCCAAAAGTTTTGTCTAACAATTATCTCACTAGATCTCTGTCATTGTGTTTTCTATTTTAATTGCAGCTTGTATCTCCTCCCCGGCCAGTGTCCTGCCCTTCACATATGTGCACCTCTACTACCTGTACTGTTTCCTTTGCTCAGTTACTGAGTCTTGTTTTGAGTAGGGATATATAACTGTTTCTCTTCATCCTTTTAGTATTTTGGCTACTTGGTTCCCAGAAAAGGAGTTACATTATTTCATAAATTATCAGACATGCTTGAAATTTAGTGCAATACACTAATTTGTGAATTATAAAGTGAACTATATACTTTGAAATGAATTTTGATTGTATATGTGATTTGATTGCATTTTGCAACGAAATTTTAAAGACATTTTAACAGAAAGATATGAAGAGCAATATTTGCAGAAATAAAATAATACACTAGGAATTGACTTGTACCAATGGACTAACAACCTTAGAAAATTGTGATCTATTGCTACCTAAGTTTCAAATAGAAAACATCTACATAAGTCATCTGCTTTCAGTCATGAGATGTTTTGATTTCTGAAAGACAAGGAAGGTTTTAGCCTTGCTTCCAGGAACAGAAGGTTACACGACTGTGGGTTGTGTATGTGCATATATATGTCTGTATCTGCTCCCTCCTTCCCCTCCCTGTAACTTGAACCTGTTGGCTGCTTTCAGACAAATTTGAGAAAGGGTCATAGGTCTTAATGGTATTAAGTTCCTACAAGTTCTGTGATAATAGCTGAGTAGGGATAAAGAGACCCCTGAAGTGCCCCAGCTAACAAAAAGGAGGCAGAGCTGTCAGATACCAGTGTGTCCACATAATGGAGACTCCTTACAAATTCTGATCTGTGATTATATTAAATGCCATCCAGTTTATGATTATGATTTATCATTTACCATATGAATTGCACAAAAAGATAGGAAATCTCTTTCACTTAGTTCTTGTAGTCACAGGAGTGTTTCATTCTGTGGTCAAAGCTCCATTGTAGCAAACTGTGTTCGGTCTGATGGAGAATTTGGCATTCAGTGTGTCACACAGTGAAGATGTCCTGACAAGAAAGAACACAAAATCTTCCAAGAATTACACAGAATTGACTTGTGGGGAAAACTACAGGATTTGTCCCTCCATAAAAGACAAAATAGGCAGAACCCATGTAAAGTTTGTCAGGAAATTTAAATTGGGCTCAGTGAAGCTGGGATTAGGGAGAAGGGATTTCCTGCCATTTTATGTATGTAGCTTGTTTGATTGGATAAATATAATTATGTATTTTGAGTGTGAAGAATGACAAAGCAAGATTTATATTATTTAATTAAAATTGAAGTATCTTTCAAAGTACTTTGAAAAGAGTACATTGTTTTTAGCTCTTTTTATAGATCACAAGTAAAAGTAAAATATTTTAAATTAGAGAAATTGTTTCAATTATGTGTGGGAAAATATTTTTACTGGTTTTGGAGTTCAGAGTTGACTACAAAATTATGACCTTAAATGAGGAAAAAAACCCACCCTCATTTTAATACTTTGAGGTGCATTTATTCTTTTCAATTGGAACAGTCCAGACTTCTGAAGTTTGAAACTTCAGGAAGTTTGAAACTTGCTTTCTAAGAAGCAAGTTGAATTCTTCTGTGTTGCTCCTGATAGCTAACAGATAAGATTTGCTGTGCCAAATTCTCTTCCTGTGGGTGCAGTCTGTTGGAATTTAGCAAGCAGTATCCTTTTTCAAGGCACTAGAAGGAAGGCACTGAAGTCTCTCATGTTTGTATTTCTGAGCAGATTAAGTTTCTGTAAGTAAGGTAAAAACTGTTGAGTATATGTAAATATTAAGACCAGCTCACATAGATATCTTATACCAAATTGGTTTAATAGGTAATATAACAGAAATACTGGTAAGAAAGGGTAAGCTGTTCCTTAACCTTAAATATCATGTTCCCCAAGTGCTTCAGGCATGTTGCTGTACCACATTACAAATCTAAACAACAGCAATTAAGGACCTCAATTCCTGGGCAGATGGAAATTCATATTTAAGCAGCAGTATAATCCCTTGAGACTTCTGTTTCTCCAGTAGAGATGTGTTAGAGATAAGATAGGTAAAACTAAGACCAGACACTGTCCTAAAACATAGATGAGTTTATACTTCAATCCTCAGTAACACTGGTCTTGTTGCCAAGGATAACTTCTCTCTGCTATGTCTCCTGTTGCTTTTTCTAGTTCTATAGTTTTAAATTAGAATTTTACTACTTAATATCTTATTAATATCTTATTCTCTCATGCTGCTGGTCCAGAATTTTGCTCTTCATTAACTGGAACCACGTTGCTTTAAATGGATTACCTCATTATCAAAATGAGATAAGCCTGCAAGGCACCTTATGTCATTCAAAAATGATGGATAGAATATTACAAAGCATGCATTGAGCCCCATTAAAAAAACCAAATCACCACTTGCTAGTTAATATTTATAGGCCAGATCTCAGCAATAGCAATGTGAAGCTCCTTTTTCTGTTTCAAGTTAAAATTCCATACTGAGGTGAAGTCTGGAGGAGAAGAAAATATATTTACTAGATCAGCACATAATTTTAAAATAATTGGCAAGATTTTGGTTAATGAGCTGAGCTTTCAAGGTATTCCAATAATTCTAGCAATTTGTGTAATAACATTAATGATGTGATCTTTCTAATAAGATTTTTGGTCCAAAAAGCTCAGTGCCTGCTAAGTCAACCACATGTTTAAGTAAATTTTTTGTATTTGAATGAATGAACTTGGTTTGCTATAAATTTGAATAACCATCACTGGTGGTGTGCTACATGATTTATGTCTCTGTTAAAATGTACACAGGTAGATCAAGTCCTTCTTGTAGAAGAGGAAGAAGATAAAAAGAGCTGCCTAATACACAATAAGCAAGAGGACTCTCATTTTGATGCCAAAGAAGGGACTGTAAGGAATGACACTTCCATACACCACAGATGCAAACTGTATGAGGTCGGTATTGGACATGAAGGAACAAAAAATGTAAGCAAAGAAATACAAATAAGTAACTGTTTAGGAGACAAACAAGGTTTTTTGTCAAGTGATCCCGAAGATGGTCAGGCGAGGACAGAAGTGCAGTGATACCACTAGAGTGCATTGTAGATGGTTAGTGCATGGCCAGCATTGCAGGTATCAAGGCCCACGTGAGGGCAGTTTGGGGGTCAAATGACTCGTATAAAGGCTGGGAGGAAAATGCTATTTACCATGAGTGAAGGTCTCTAGGTCAGACCATAAATGTGCCAGTTAGGAAAAGGAAAGTGTTTCTGCTTTGATTGTACTTAGATGAAGATTGATTTGTGTCCAGGAGGAGCTACCGCTAAAAAAGAGAGAAACAGACCTGTGAGATATGGGAAAGAATGCTTTCACTAAAAAAAATTGTGAGCAGAAATGATTCAGTCCAGAAGAAAAATAAAAAAAATGGTATAGCATTCAGCAAAAGCTTGTTGCAATTATGGCAAGGATAATTTTAGGGACCCTGGAAAGCATCAAACCCATGTAGTAAGTAGGGAAAGAAGTAGTGTGCAGAGTCAGAAAAACTATGTAAACTGAGTTGATAAAGAATGATCCAAAGGTCCAAAACTAGCTGATAAATTGAAAAGGACAGAAAAGGAAGCAAGACCTTTGGATTTAGCCACAAGCCAATCATTAATTTTTTTAGAAGGTCAATGCGAGTAAAGTGACCTTAGCAAAATCAACTGAATCTTATAACAAGTATTTGAGCAGAACTAGCATAAACTTAGGGCTTGAGGTTTTTTAAAAAAAGATGACTGGTAAGTAGGAATTAGACAGCATAAAGAAAATTCCTTTTGAAATTTAAAAAGAATAATCCTTTTATACTTTTTGGTACAAGAATAGTGTTTGATGTAATTATGTTACAAATGATTCCTAAAAAACTGAGTGATTTATAAGAAAGTTCTGCAGTCATAGGAAACTGGGTAACATGTTCTTGGTATCATGCTAACTAAAATAATTAACTTTTCTCCAAGAACTATGTAAATTCACAGAAAACTTGTACTGTGCTATTTGTCCTGGGAAGGTGTAGTGTTTACCCATGTCAGAAAGGCAAACTGCTGAATGAATAATCACTTAGTAGAATAAGACTTGCTTACTTGTATTATCTAAGGCATGTAAAAGCTGTGGCTGATTTGCTGTATTCTAAACATTCTATTACGTTTTAATATATGTTACTACTAGTGATGTTTTTCTGCTGTAGGTATGTCTGCTGAATTCTAGCACTGCCTGTGATCTTGCATATACAAATACTGTTAAATATTGTGTCTGTTCACAGCCGTGCCCCACTGTACCAGCTCTGGAGAGCTGGAGGGGTACTGAACAGGGCACTGCTTGGGTGATAAAGGCAGAAGCAAAAATCACGTTTGAATAAAGATGCAGATTTTTTACAACTTTAAACGGAATAACTTGGATAAAAGTAATTTTTGCTGTGTCTGTTTTTCACTTTTGTAAGGCAAAACCAGATGATTTAAAAGTGAACTTATGTGCAAAGTTAAGAAAGTGCAGAATAGCACAATCAGGCTAAGAGGAACACACTAAATATGAGTAGAGCTGGTAGCAAACATTTCTCCTTGTAGACAGCATTTCTGTTGAGTAGAAGTACTTTTGAAGATATGTCTGTTGATTTTTTCAGAGAGAGATTTTTGCAGGGAAACATAAGTATAGGTCTGTGAGGAGCTAACTGGTTTAGGTTTTAAGTTGATTTTTCGTTGTATCACAACAAAGATTTTGAGAAGCCGGAATTTGAAATTTTTTAGGATATTCTTGAAACGGCCACTCAATAATTAGAGTTAAAATATTTATAGGTGAATCACAAACTCTTTAGGTTGTGTAGTCTAAAAATCTGAATTCTCAACACATGAAATCTTGGAATTTTTGGTAAAATTGAACCTGTTTACTACATGTTTAATGAAGAACACGCATATTTGATGACTAAAAATGACTGCATTACGCACTTCGGTACGCTTTTTAGAGCAGCATTTTGAACGTGACTGGAAATCTCCAGAGGCAGATTGCTGCTGAAGAGCCCTTCGTGGAAATGAAATCCCTGACGGCAGCTGCGGGCGGGCGGTGCCCCCCCGACGGGCTCCGCTCCCCGCGGCCCCCGGGCGGGGCTGGACGGGCCCCATAAAGGCGGCGGGGCGGGCGCGGGGCGCAGTCCCGAGGGTGGGCGCCGAGCCGAGCCGAGGCAAGCCAAGCCAAACTAAGCTAAGCTAAACTAAGCTAAGCTGAGCTGTCCTGTCCTGTCCTGCGCTGTCCTGCCAGCAGAGATGCTGCGAGTGCGGTGCTTGCGCGGGGGAAGCCGCGGAGCCGAAGCGGCGCATTACATCGGCTCACGGGTTGGTGCCGCCGCGCTGGGGGCTGGTGGGGTTGAGGATGCCCCAGGGGGACGGGGTCCTGTGTGGCCACTTAGTCGGGGCGCTCCGAGTGGTGGCAAGAGGGTGCGGGACGGCTGCGGGCTCCTCTGACTGAGGCTCGCCCAGCATCCACCCGGCTCAGCAGCGCAGAGTTCAGTGACTCCATTCGCCACTGTCAGAGCTGTGCTTCTGTGTCATTACCCTTCTAAACTGAGTGCGTTTTAAAAGGCAAAATGTCCTTTACGCGTCTAGTAGGCTGTGAATAAGTTAGAACGGCTGTAACAAGCTGTGCTTCTGTTAATGCTCCAAATAGGGTATGTTCCTTCGGGATTACAGTGTTAAGGCACTTGTGGGCTGAACCCTCACTTTTTGCCTTTTGTAAGGGAAGTATAATTTTTATTCTTGTTTTTATTTTAAGCTACAAAGAGTCTTTACAGGATGGGTGCAGCGAACTTTCCAGAGCACCCAGGCAGCCACGGCCTCCCAGAACACCTGTGCTGCCGATGACAAGGCTACCAGCCCTGTGCCTAAAGACTGTCTTGTTTGCTCATACAATGAATGGGACCCACTGGAAGAGGTCATTGTGGGAAGAGCTGAAAATGCTTGCGTCCCACCTTTTTCTGTGGAAGTTAAGGTAAGCAATAAAAAAAAATACACTTAAATAGAAAATGATGTGGGTTTTATACATACAATTTGCTTAAGTGTACAAGGTATGATGTTCACTCTTGAGGATTCTTCTTTCAAAGCAGTTGTTTATATCTGTGAAACTTTACAGTATAGCCATGTTGGTGAGGGATGTGCTTTTTCTTTTCACTTTTAACTGAATGAGCTGTTTTAACAGAAGTCACTTATAGAGAGAATCTCTAACATGTGCAATTTGCTCTAGTTATATAGATCCGATGCTATCAAAGTATACACACTAGCTTTTGAGGTAGTAAAACTTTAATTTGGCTTGAAACTAAGTAGGGTTACCACTTTAAAAAAAAAGTGTAATTTTCTACTTAGTCTGAGAAAAATTGAATTCTATAGCTGTGGACTAGTAGGACTACTGTACTAAATAGCTCTGAAGTAGCTCACTGCAACTCCTGTGTGCTACAGCCAGTATTGTGGGGAAATACATACTCTTCTGTTTTTCAAGATTTTTTCTGTGCCTAAAACTGAAACAGCAACCTAAATAAATCTGTGTTTCTGTGCTCTCTGAAATCATATATTTTAAACAGTAACACTCAAACAATGGGCTTGCTTCAGATTTTTGAATACTTTACCTGGACTTCAAAGTTGCTGTATATGTGTGTTACCTGCATTTGTGGGATGCTCTTGATTTTGTTACAGTACAGCACTCTCTCCAGGGAAGCATGTAATCCATGGCTATCACAGCAAAATGAGCTGGGATAATATTTCTGCCAATGGCAAACAAAGATACTGAAAATATATTTAAAGTGCTGGAAATGGTCATCTTGGAGAAGTTTGAGATGTACTAGTGGAGAAGACTTCTCTTAGCTCTTTTTATGTTTCTATTTCTTTTTTTTTTTTTTTTTTAAGAATCTGGGCTATGATTCTGGGCAGAACTGGTTGAAGGAGTGTGAATGAATTTCTGCAGCTTGTTAGTTCTAATGCCCAGACAGCAGAGTAATCATTTGACTTACACTGGGACATTTGAGATGACATCTTGTGCCAGTGAGCACAATGAAAGCTTCATTACTGACTTCATTATGACTTTTATTTACTCCTTGAAAGCTGCAGCTCAGTTACCAATCTCTGGAATCCTCTTTCAGACACTCCAAAGACATTCTATCAGCTTCAGAGAAAGAAGTGAACAAGTGTTAGCATTTCTAATATACGAGTGTATGTATATGCATCTATATAAGACTGACATAATGAATGCACAGGAGGAGTAAGGGAAAAAATGTCTAACTTTTTTACATTGTGACATTCAGTGAAGCAAAATTCTCTTCTTGAGTAGGGGCCAAGGGCTTGCTTTAGTGCCAGAAAAAATAGTTCAAGTGTCTAACTTGCTGAAGTGTGACATGCTATACAGGTTTTACTGCCTCTTGAGCCATAACTACTCACATGAGATCAGAACTTCACTTTCTCATACGTGTGATATCAAAAGCTCAATGAGGAATGTCAAAGGACAGGATTACCTCTGCAATTCCAATACCTTAACCTTAGGGTTAAAGCATGCTTTAGCTTTGCTTCATGTCAACTGCCAAGCCCACAGCAGGTACTGGGAACAGACCATGCCAGCTGAGATGTGGTTTCCTCTAATTTTCTCTACTTTTGTCATAAATTTTGCTGTAGAAACTGCAACAGTAACTTTACCTGGGGGATGTTGCTGAGAAATTCAAACAGTAGTTCGGTCCTTCCTTGACTATTACTATTAATTAACAGATGAATTATTGTTCAAATCTCCACGTGGCTGAAAGATAAGGTGTGTATGTGTGTGTTGCTCCAGTGTAATACTATAGCCAGAAATCCCTGTTCCTGCCCCTGTGAGTAGCAATAGTAGGGTTCATGTGTTTCACATGCCATCTGCCAAGTATACATGAGGGTCACTGGTTATAAAAACTGCAGTTTGAAACTAATGAATTTGATTCTTATAAGGAAAATTTGAAGCTTTGGACCTGAGACACTTTAAAGAATATATCTCAAATCATAAGAGTTTGGTGAATGCTTGTGTTGAGGTTCAGTTTTAAGATTGTATGTAGGTTTATTTACCAAATATTTAAATGCAGGAAGTATGTCTGCATTCAGCATTCTTGTACTTTGAGACATGGTTTTGGTATACACAAATCCTTTTGCTGTGATGTGAGACTGCTGTGCTTGGCATAAGAAGGAGGAAGGAAGGAATTGAATAGAGAGCCCTGCATATCTGATGAATATTAATGAGCTGACACTATTGCATATCCTTTTCAGGGTTTGAAATGGTCTATGTAGGTTATGTAGAGGTAAATACACTATTTGGAAACATGGGGAATCTTAATAAGGAGGTGAACAACTGCATTAATTAGGAAGATGTCCTTTTTTGAAATAGCACTTTAGTGAAAAATCTCACAATTGAGACTTCTGAAGTTTTCTGAAGCAGCTAACACTTAGTGAAGCAGTTGGACTTTATAGCTTTGTACTCAATGCTTTTCAGTATATTCTGTGAATAATGATGCATTTTTGGTGAAGAGGTATTATTAATACAGGTCACTATATCTTGAGTGAGAATATGGGAGTGTGTTTACTACTGAATTAGGCAAAAAGACTTCTGATTTGAATTTCTGTTTCAATGCCCTTAATTTAATAACTGTCATTACTAGTTTTAAGGTACATCTTGATAATGTCAATTATTTTCCACAAAAAAATGTTTAAAATATATAGCAACTCTTGGGAGCAATTCTGTTTCTTATAGACAATCTTTCCTAACAGCATCGCTTAAATTGCTCTCTAAAAAGAGTGAGTTTGTTTCAAATGTTGCTGCAGTGTCTCAGGTACTCTCAGACAGTAGGTTATAAGGTGCATTGAGGAGATCATTTAAAGTTCTTTTCTATGTCCTGGCCATGGTACCTTTTGAAGAGTCTGAACTGACTTGTATGTATATAATCAAAAGGGCCTGAAATCTCAACCCTGATTCGGTATGGAATACATGTCCCAGCCATATACCCTTTTCCCAGATATTCAGAAAGTAGGGAATATGAGTGGTGTTACTCTGTTGTAATTTCAAGATTATGCCATTGTATGGTTTCTCAGGTTTGAAAAAAACCCAGTACTAGAAGACACACATAAGAGAGGAGCTGCACCTCTCGGGGATGATGATATTCACATACATCATGGCTGGCTCTGAAAATAGCTTGCTTCACTTCATAGGACGAATTTATCTCATTAGCAGAACATGTTTCCATAGGAATGCTAAGCACTTCATGTGATCTCCATGTGACTTCTGACCAGCTGGCAAGTTTGAGGTGATCAATTTACCCAAGACCTCACTTATAGAAAAAGAATAAATTCCTTCAGGAGGGATGGGAAGAAGCTTCAGTATTGGAGGAGCAGGATGCCCATTCTGGGGCTCTCTGTGTAAATGTTAAGGTTGAATCTTCTTTCTTCTCTCTCACTTGTGTAACATGAGGGCAAATATCCAGAAATAGTAGAGAACAGAGTGGATAGCCTCGATTGTTAAAGGGGAACAGGCATGCCTTCAGATGAATGGCCCTGCCTGCTCAGGCAGGTTAGCACTGACAGTGCTAACACAAAAGGAACTTTATTGCATGGTTTTTGTTGAGAACATCACTCTCTGGGAGGTATCAGGACTGCAGTGTCAGGAGAGAACCTCATGTTTGGAGGAGCAGGTTCTTCTGCACCCTGTTGCTGTCCTTCCTGCTGCTTGGATGGGATGGACTCTGGTAAAAAGAAGGCCTCACCACTTGCTTACCTGTTCCTGACTCCTGCTGTCATTCCAGAAGGGCTCCTTGCACTTGCATCTCTGCTAACACTGACGTGATAGAGGAACATTGGATACATTGAACAGAAGCAGCATCATTTGTTTTGATTGTATGTCTGGATTTTCTTACCCATGAGAACTAGGACATTATTTTGAAATTTGTTTTTAATTTGAGAAGACTATCACAGGATTTCAGCAGAGGATTTAGGCCTGTAAATGTTGTATTTGCTTTAATCCAACCCTGACAGGTGAATTTAGTATCTTTGGCATCTTCTAGACTGCTGCTG